AAAATGTGTATGTAAATCCAGCACATAATTTATTTTAAATATCATGTCTAACTTTTCTACCTATTATGATTATCTTTGATCAATTTCCATAAAATTATTTACCCAACATTTATACAATGTACAATGCTATACAGAAATAAAATACGAAAGCGTCATTTTTTAATACAAATCATATTTAATATATATGTATTTGCATTGAGTAGAACATGTCACAGAAATAATCAAAAATATATAAACATCGCCATTTAGAATCACTAAGAAAGAAACAATTAAAACACAGAGATAATTTTGGCCTCAGGACACTACTACACATCTTCATATACAAATACACTTCATCTTGGGGGGGGGGGGGGGGCCTGTTAGGCGTATCAGGGCAGTGAGGGTTGAGTAGAAACATAGTCGTTCGTGCGCTTACTTCCACTACTGCTTCTGTTGCTCGGGACAGGCCATTTGGTATAGGAACTGTATCATGGTGCGTGTTGGGCGACCCGTCATACGATCCTTCAGCAAATACGGCAAGGTGCCATATTTTGTCAGCATTCCAACGCCTCGAATATCTAAATGCGCCCAGTCCACACAGGGAACAAATTGCTGTGCAAAGAAAATAGAGAGAAGGGGGAAAAATAAAGATAAAATAAGCCACCTGATAGAAAACATCATTGCTTACATGCAAAATGGCAGCCGCTAGGCAGGATGAAGCTGGTCCTTTACCAGTATTGCAGACGTCAAAACTAACATTGTCTACAAAAAAAAAAACAAAAAACATTGAAAAATTAATCAATCCAAACACACATGAGTGATCGCTCGATTAATGTGTACTCACTTGTTACCAGGTACTTGTAGTAGTTCCAAAGTGGTAAGCGCCACATGCGATCGCCTGTTAGTGAGCCAGCTTTTTGAAATTGCTTCCAAATGTAGTGCGAGTTGGAAAATATGCCTGTTGCACCACCACCCAAAGCTTTCTTAACGCCTATACCCAGCGTAGCAACGTCGACCACAAGTCGAGGTTTGTAGGTGGTCTGAGCATAGATCAATGGATCCGCCATCACGACAACACCCGCCTTATCCGTATCCTATAAACAACATGGTGTTAAATACGAGAATATTTCAATGGTTTGGATTCAATTTCATGCTTACACTTATTGCCAATGATTTGCCGTTGAGCAACGTGACTACGTCACCTGGTTTGCAAGCCATACCCGAAGGCATATTCTCGCAAAGTGGTATGACAGCAGAAATATTGATAGGTAGCGATAGAGCAGCGGCGGCACGAATGGATGCAACCACAACCGCAGCACCGGCCATGGCGCCACGATACTCATCCATACCCTTGCAAGTGCGCAAGCAGATACCACCGCTAAAAATAATTGATAATCAATTAGTGAACTAAATAATTTTTTCATAATAACACGGTGTTACACTGACCATAAACTTTTTAAGTACAGTACAGGTCGTAGAGCTGGTTTAAATATTTTGTTACACTCCTCAAATTCTGAACTTATTCTTAAAAAAAAACATTTTTACAGGACTTGCCCGGTTATTTTTTACCCAATTTGAAGTTTTAAGATGGCTTCGAAGAAGAATATTTATACTATGTATTTAAAGATATAATACGTTTTGTTAGTAAATTTTTGGAATAAAAAATGTTTGGCAAAAAACAAAAAAGTAAATGTGGAAAAAATAAAAAATGGCGCAAATTTCAGGTTCCAAAAATTATTATAAAATTGTCCTCATAAAACTTATTATTTCTCTCAATAGTACCAATATTGTTCTTTCTTAAGCCTTATCAAAAAAAAAAAAAAAAAGTAATCGAACTAAAAATTGTTTAGTGCGGGAGTCATACGAAAATGGTTTTTTAAGAATAAGTTGAGAATTTGAGGGTGTTAGAAAAATTCTTAAAACAGTTTCGTGAATTACTTATTCTGTAACAACTTGTAATTACCAATTTTCATTTTATTTATTTTTTGTTTAAATTCATGTTTCTAAAGTTTATTTTAGTTTTTTATTTATTTTTTTCGTCAAAAATTTATCTTCGTTTTTGTATTTAATTTTTTATTCAATTATAGAATTTTTTTTTTATTTTATTTTTTTATTTTTAATATTTTTATTCATTAATGCTATTTAATTTATAATACCCTCTGATAATTCTAAATAATTTTGCATCTTACCTATTGAATGTCATACCCTTGCCCAACAACAAGATTGGCTTTTCTTCCGGCGCTGTGCCGCAATAGCTAATCTCTAGCAGCACAGGTGGCTCACATGAACCCTTTGCAATCATTAAAAACGAATTGAGATGTTGTTGTTCGATCCACTCCATTGTACGAATCTCCACAGTGACACCACAAGGGCACAATGCATCCACAGTCGCTTGTGCAAATGCGGTGGGTGTCATTTGATTAGCTGGACCATCACTTAGACGCCGAGCAAGATTTTGTGCTTCAGCTTTGAAGAGACCACGCGTCCAAGCGTCTATGTCGGGTGAGTCGTACAGTTCCAATTTGGGAGTCCCGGTTCGGTCTTTTTTCCTTTTGTTGTCCTGATAACGCCATATCGCTAGAGCACTACCTTCGGCAGCTTGTTCGGGGTACTCCATGGAATCGACGAAGACCTCTGAACAACCTTGCATCTGTAGGCTGCGGGCACCGACACCAGCGGCGACCCGAACATTTTCCTAAATTATCGCGAAGTGGTACGTGATTGCAGAAAATCATTTAAAAAATTAATCGTTTTTCAAATTGGACACATTTTTTGGGCATCGAAACGCAAATCGTAACTATAGCTTTTTAGTTACTCAAAATTAGGATACGGTAGTGCAATTTTGATTACATTACAGATTTTTTTTTATGAATGGAAAGATTTTTCTGTCAAATAATTTTTTCAATGACGGCATATTCGTAAAATTTTAATTGTCATATTTACTAAAGATTTTTTTTAACTTTCTTTGCTGTCAAAGTTTACAGTTTTTTAAATTTAAAGCCTTTTATAATATTTTATAATATTGCGAGTGTATGGATAGTTTCATTACTTACCATGCCTTCGTCCAACATTTCCAACTCATTGAAACCGGCGCCCTCACGTCCAACACCGATCACTGCTATAGACCGAAACTCCTGATCAATATTGTTAAATACTTTCCCCCTGCCCAATTTTCCGGACAGATTCGTTCTAGGATCGCGATCATCCGAAAATTGGGAAATTAGTTTACAGGCTACCAGTTAAATTCTATGAAGATAAAAACTTACTCTTTGATTAATTCCGATACTTTGCCCTGTACACGATCATCGAATTTCTCCCCGCTTGATGTTAGCTTTGGTTCTTTCTCACCCTCCTTCTGATACAGTCCAATCACAAGTCCTTTCTGGAATAAATCACACAAAAAATCAGCATTGCGTAACAACAAGTGTTTTCAAGTGCAATGCGATCTGATGCTTTCGAAATGGCTTTAAACAGTTGACCTTACCGTTACACGCGAATCATCAGCGTAAAACCTCCGATAGACTTGTTGCAATTTTTTCACATTACCAAATCTCCGCAGAGATCCAGTTAGCCAATTTGCCATGCGTATCGAGGACATATTTTGCAAGTAGTTTTATTGATTTAATTTTAATTATTTCCTTTTATGCAAATTTTTATATATAAAACGGTTTTCAGCTTAAAAATTTTCAATAAAAAATAAATTTGAAATTTGGATTTGACTGAATATTTTTCACAGCTTGTTACAGTTCGTTGAGTGAATTGATTGATTTACAAAGTGCAAGTTTGCAGTACAGTTTCAAAGTGATCTTGAATTATTTTAGATAATTTTTTTTTCTATGGTAGATCGGTAACTTGACACAATATTGATTAACTCATCCGTTCAATATTTAACCGAAAGTAAGAATGGAGAGAGTAGTTTTAATGTTTTTTTTCGATTAAGTTGTGTTATAAATATTCATATAGAATAGAAGATAATACGGCTACTTAATCCCTCGCATAGTAAGTAAATTTAAAATAAAAATTCTTGGCCTGGCCTTAAACCCCAGAGTACCAGTCTTTTGTTTATGAAGAGTTGAAAATGTGCATAGCGATATTTTAATAAAGGTCTACTGTATGTATGTATGTATGCATTTAGGCAGTTATTAAAATGTCGCAATTTTTTGTGTTTTTTTTTCCAAAATGCCGCTACGTGGAACTCGTCGAATTTTGCCTATTTTCAAGACCAAACTACCTGAAGCTGTTATTATCTTACCGCTTAGCATACCTCTAATTGAGGCCATGAGAGCAGAAGTGGCCTAACCCGAATTTTTTTTTGTGTGTTTCCCTACTTAAAATAGTCTTAAATGAGATAAATTTTAAAATGACGGTCGCTTACATAACCTATCATCAAAATAAGTAATAATCGACCTCTAATTTAAGATTTGTTACATTTGAAACTATTTTAAGAATTTAAGTACAAGAAAAAAATTGTGGGTTACGCCACTTCTGCTCTCATGGCCTCAATTCTACTTCAGTTATTTGTAACGGACAGAATTACATACATATATGACTCGTAAACTGGCAAAATTGAGGGGTTTTTGTCGTATTTCAAAAATGTTCAATACCTTAATAAATGTCGGAGATTTTGCATTTTTAAAAGCTTTTATTATGTTTCACCTGTGTGTAATCAAATCTTGCACAAATATTTAAACCAACTTCCCGATGAGCTAGAGACTTGAGACTTGAAACTGTATAACGGCTTAAATTTTATTTAAAAAGGATCGTGTATTTAATTGTGCTCCGTTTTTTGCAATATTTTGCTTTTATTTAAACAATTTTCTTACGAATCTACATACATATATGTAAGTATGTATATATATAACACTATTAAATAGAACATTCGCTATAACAACGTGCGTAATAGTAAAATACGCAAGCATTAAATTGCACCTCTACCAATTAAAAAATAAAGCGTTTCATGTTCTATTAGAACCATTTCCTGTAGGTAGCATCCATGAGCTTATCAGTAAATTTGTCTATTGGGCCAATAATTAATGGAATTGAACACAAACCAATAGCGGTGGGCGTTATTTTTCTAAAGGCTTTTCTAACGTCGGCTTTGCGCATGAGATAACCAGTTAACCATGTAATTCTGCAACAAAAAAAAAAAAACAAATTTATTAGATACCTAGATCAGTACATGGGTGTTCTTCCGTAATTTATAAACACCTGTTTATTGTAACGCCAGGAATGAAGACTGAGGCTACCATTTGCCATGTAAATACATCGCCGGTAACGATAGCTATTTGTTTAGCGCTACTTCCACGTTGATGTTCTTTCACCGATTTGTCAATGGCATCAGCGCAGACATAAGCAGTGGCGAGTAAGTAGGACGCACGAACTAAATTGCGATGTATAAGCGGACGGAAGGCTTCGCCGACCTCATTGGAATAACCTGATGAAGCGTAGTTTAAAAATTAATTGTTGTGGTATAAAATGCTATTATTTATTGGTGGATTCTTCCGATATGTTGAGGTGGTGAAATTTGCATCAAATTTCCGCCACCCCTTGCCTCAGAAACGAAAAATGGCACTCAAGATGGCACAACGCCCAAACTCGTTTTTCTCCAAATCAAATTTGTCAAGAAATCTTATTTATTTAGTTCAATAGTTTACAGAAAAAAAATTATTTTCAAAATACATCAAATACTATTATTATAGGTACTAGATAAGGTTCTTGGAAGAATTGGTGGATTGTTAATAGTTTTATGGCTGTTGTGAAATCGTTGCATACCAGAGCGCCATGTTGCAGTCTTTATTGCATCATACAGAGCACCATGAATAAGTAAGGTACGCAAGCATACATACTCACCTAAATATCGTAGTGGACTATCCCTATAAACATCGTATTCCTTGCTCATTTTGATAATAGTTCAGCTTATAATATATATAATTTTCAGCTTAAAGAAAAAAATACCAGCGGGGATTATTATATAATACTAAGACTGAACAATGTGTGAACAAGTTAATAACTTACATGAGCATGCCAATTAAAATCACTTGTTATTGATGCCCTTCCTCCTCCAAAGAGTCCCAAAGTATTCACTTGTTATTTATCTTTCCGTCATTTTTGTTTTTAATTTATCATCAACCTCAATTGTTGGCAAAGCTTGCTTGTTCCCTTTTTCTTTACATGTGAACAAAAACCAAAAATTTACGAAATTGGGGAGCAAAACATAACTGATCAAAAGTGGCCAGATCAGATCGATATCAATTACAGCCATTTGAATGCCCAATATTTGGATTTGTAAAAATAATCGAAACGTAAGTCTAGGTTCTTTGATTATAGTACATTTTTTTTGAAACTGCGTTTTACACAGATTTTGGGAAAATTTCGATACAGTGTACTCTTAATCGGAAAATACCGGGTATGAGGCATGGCGCAACAATGATTTCACCATAGGTATGAGGGGTGTAAGAGTGAACACCCCAGACCGCGGAGGCTTCTATTTTTAAAAGTTATTGACCGAAATCACTTGAGCTATTACACCCACTCTATTGAAACGATCAGCCTGATCATGAGTTTCATTTTCCCCGAACCTTTTCACTTTTCACTTTTGGTATGGACGGGATAAAAATTTCCGGGTGCATTTTTTTCGGGTGAAACAGGGTAAGGCAAAATATTTCTGCGCGCAACTTCTTTCTGTGTAGGCGGTATAAGGCAATATATTTCAAAAGGCTTTCAAATTGCGAAACTTCAGAAAGCAGTTGCATGTGCAGTCACACATCAATCCCGCCAATCGGTTTGGCAATTTTCTTCCTTTCGCCATCTTAAACCAAGAAAAAGCAACCCTGGCGTTAGAAGAATAAAAAGGAAGAAGCGAACAGTATCGCAAAACGAAATCGTCACGAACCAAGTGATGAAAAACAACAATGCAACAAATGTCAAATGCGCAACGAATGGTAGGCGATAAGAAAAAGTACGAAATAGCGAAAATTCAACTGGAGGCATTAATTTAAGGAAAATCTACGTCTTTTTATTATAAAATAACTTTTTCTTGGATTTGTTGTAATACAAAATAAAAGGTAAGGAAATAAAAAGTTAAATTGATATGCGAATCGAATCTCTGTGGCCATACCTAGATACAGGCATCAAAATGATCAACTGCAATGACTGCGAAAAAATTTATGAGAACTCTGTGCGTGGATTAGTCATTCCTTAAATTTGTTTGTTATATCGAGTTTAATGTTGCGAACTATTGACTTTTATTTTTATAAATTTACGTTGATATTTGCTTTAAAAAATAATTCAGATCGCTTATACCACTCGAAAGTAAACAAAAAATGAAAAACTTAACCTACGAAATCGATTTTGCCTGCACCATTTTTTTTTTGTACATACCGCAGTGATTATAACTTTATAAGTGACATCATTTTATCGGAGATGTCAGCTGGGCAGGACATTTATAGTTGGAAAAACAAGAAAGATTCATAGCGTATCTACCTATGTACTTACATATGTGTTTACCTTCACATTTAATGCGTTATTATTTTATGAACAACTTAGTGACGCGACAAGCATGGCCTCGGGCACAACTTTGCAAAAAGCTATCGACTTGGTGACCAAAGCGACGGAGGAAGATCGCAACAAAAATTATGCGGAAGCGTTGCGTCTGTATGAGCATGGTGTTGAATATTTTCTGCATGCTATCAAGTGTAAATACATATATTTTTAATAATTCGGATAAGATATATTTTCATTACACATCTTTTTAGACGAAGCACAAGGCGAGAAGGCCAAGGATTCGATAAGAGCCAAGTGTCTACAGTACTTGGACCGTGCTGAAAAACTTAAGGAGTATTTGAAGAAAGGCAAAAAGAAGCCTGTAAAAGAAGGCGAATCCAGTACCAAGTAGGAAACATATTTTTGAAATGAACTTACGAACTCTTTCTAACCAACTTCTAAAATATTTTAGGGATGACAAAGACAAAAAGGACGATAGCGATTCAGATGGTGAAGATCCTGAAAAGAAAAAACTGCAAGCTAAATTAGAAGGAGCTATAGTCATTGAAAAGCCGCATGTGAAGTGGTCCGATGTAGCTGGCCTAGATGCTGCAAAAGAGGCTCTAAAAGAAGCGGTTATCCTGCCAATTAAGTTTCCACATCTTTTTACTGGTAAACGCATACCCTGGAAGGGCATTCTGCTCTTCGGCCCACCTGGTACTGGCAAATCATATCTTGCCAAGGCTGTCGCGACTGAGGCAAACAATTCAACTTTCTTTTCCGTGTCCAGTTCGGATTTGATGTCTAAATGGTTAGGTGAATCTGAGAAGTTGGTCAAGAATCTCTTCGAGTTAGCACGTCAACATAAACCATCTATCATTTTTATTGACGAAATCGATTCTATGTGCTCGGCGCGTTCGGACAACGAGAATGACAGCGTGCGTCGTATCAAAACAGAGTTTTTGGTGCAAATGCAAGGTGTAGGCAACGACACCGATGGTATTCTCGTATTGGGCGCCACCAATATACCATGGGTGTTGGACTCAGCTATACGGCGACGATTCGAAAAACGTATATACATTCCGTTGCCGGAAGCACAGGCACGTCTGGTAATGTTTAAAATACATTTAGGCAATACCACTCATGTGCTAACTGAGGCCGATCTTAAAGTGCTGGCATCGAAAACCGATGGGTAAGTATGCATTACTTATGGTGCAACTTGGAACTGAATTAAATGTCATTTGCAGCTACTCCGGCGCTGATATTTCAATAGTTGTTCGTGACGCACTCATGGAACCAGTGCGCAAAGTGCAAACCGCCACCCATTTTAAAGTAAGCTTCTTAATTTCTTACCAATTGAAATTTCGGCTTTTAATTCTTTGCTTTTATATTTTATTAGCGAGTAACCGGTCCATCACCAACAAATAAAGAAGAGGTAGTTGATGACCTGTTGGTGCCGTGTTCACCAGGCGATGAAGGCGCAACTGAAATGTCTTGGATGGATGTGCCCAGTGATAAATTATTTGAGCCTCCAGTTACTATGGTACAACTTAAAGAGTCTTTTATTTGTTCGTTGTTTGTTGTTTAACAAAATAAATATTTTTTATATTTTTAGCGTGACATGCTGAAGTCCTTGTCTCGCACCAAACCCACTGTGAACGATGATGATCTAGTAAAGCTGCGCAAGTTCACTGAAGACTTTGGACAAGAGGGATAAATTGTAGAAAAGCTAAGAATATTTGATTTTATTATTAAAATAAGTGAATACTGTACGCAAATTGATCAATTGTTGCCTATTTGATATAAAGCAAACAAACAAGAAATCGCCGTGAAGGACCGTCGTACAGTGGTTAAAAATTGGCATTTAGTGTTCATAATTCACTGGAGCCTTCATTTCTCGCCCAATTTGTTATTTTTTTTTTAAGTTGAGCTCGATATTTTAATTTTTGTTTGTTTGTATAGAATTTTTTAGTGCAAAGTATATAAAAAGTAGCAATTTTGAAGAAAATCGACTCTCCTGTTCCAGTTAATAAATCTTACGTAATAAAAACTAGTTGAAAGCAAACCGAGGACTCTACACCTCCCAAAAAAAAAAAAAAATTAAAATCTGAAATGTTATAAAAAATGTTCACAAAAATTATTTATTTATTTTTTTTGGGTTTTTATAAACATTTTGGCTATGCGGTTTTATAGATCATTAAGTTTTAGTATAATAAAGTGCAAGCCGCGTTCATTTGTAATAATATAACAAACGCTTCTATTTCTCATTTAGCAATGCACATTTGCTCGAAATGTTAGCTAAATAATATTGATAATCAACGCGATATTATATTAAAATTTATTGATCTATAAAGCTGCATACCCAAAATTTTTCTAGAAACTCAAAATTTTTTATTTTAATTTTGGTGAAAATTTTTGTATAACATTTCATATTTTTACGTTTTTATTATGTAAAATTTATTAACTGGAACAAGAGAGTATATTTTCTTCACAATTGCTTCCTTTTTTGCACTTTCCATTAAAAAAATTTAATACAAACAAACCAAAATTCAAAAATCGGGCTCAACTGGTCTTTTGCAAATAAAAATAAAAATTTAAAATTAACAAATTGAGTGAAAAATGAAGTCTCCAGTGAATTATGAACACTAAATTCCAGTTTTGAACCACTGTGCATTGGCGGCTGAAATTCATTAAACCTCTTTCTGACCAACTCGATATCTAAATTAAGCTATTGGTAAAAAACAGATTTGTAGTAAAATTTAAGTATTTTCTTCTGTCGTAATGTCCACATTGCATTTTTTATTTCATTTCGGCATTATAAATTTATGCGTCGTACTGAAGTGAAAAGCGTTTTCAAAATGGCGCTGTATCAAATGCTGAATATTTTTTTTTTGTAATGAGCTCATTGTATGCGAATATGGAGTAGGAAAATCAGGTATTTTTTTATATGGACACTAGCGAGGTAGAATGTGTGTGTTTGCCATAATGGTTGGCTGGCTGACAAAATTGTAACAAAAAATGTGTATGTAAAAATATGAAATTCTCACGCTTTGTTTCAAAAATAGTATATAAAAAGATATTCTTATTAAAAACAAATAATCAATAGTAATTCATTGTAATTGTACTTTGTTCTGGCATTGATGTTGTTCCCCTACAAATACGTCAAGCATTCGGTTCAACAGTTTTCTTATTCGCCTTCGCTATTTTCTATTACAAGCAAAGGTTGTTGAATTTCGTAAAAAACAATCATTTCCTAAAAAAAAAACCAATGTTTTCATTTCTACTTTGCATTAGCAAATTTGTGCTTACCCGGCACTTTTCCACATTTAGCGTGCAAATTGCTTGTGTGGTCTCTTTGACGGTGTTCACCTCTTCGCTGCGTACCAGACGTACATGCGGATAATTGTCTTCGCCTGTTTCGATCGCAAGGCAATTGTCGCGCACCAGAAAGGCTATTTGAAATGCGTTCTCAACGGTATTCATAAAATTTTTCGGATCGATAATTAGTTGATAGTAGGGTATGGGTTGGCCGCCATTACTTTTGAACATTCGAACCAATTGTTTATGCACAATATTCAACTTTTTGGCACCCTTGTCCTGGCGCTGCAGTTTATCGACGCGCTCTGGACGTTTTTCTTCCGCCTGTAAAGAGCAACAAATAGGCCATTTTTCACAAAAGCTTAACGGTAGAATGGTGTTCTGTTAACTCAGTATAAATTTCACTACTAAAAATTCAAAATGCAATAAATTTTCTTTTCTCCGCGTGTATGCTGTCAAAGTTTCTGAATGTGCCTAAAGTAACTTATATATTTTGTGGATTATAATATGACCACCACTGTCACCGTACCTTTTGTCGCCGCAGAATTGCGTTAATATCGTTCCGGAACATAATTAACACGCTTTAATACAAAAAAAAATAAAAATATTGCGATTTTCTCACTAATTAAAATTTTTACTAATGCTAACCGCATTCATTGGAAATGTGCTACTAGATTGATTTAAAATTGTTCAAACCTTTATATCAATTTATATTGCCTTGTTAGCCACCTACCTGTTCTGCTTTCTTGCGTTGCTGTCGTTCCTTAACAATGCGTTCTTTTACCTCAACCTTATACGCGCCCAGCATTGTGGATTTCGCGCGTGCCATGCGAGCTATGGAACATGCGATCTCTGTGAAGGGCTTCCAATCATCATCGCCTTGCGTGGCGACAGTTTGGCGCTGAAAATGAAATTTGTATGAGATATTTGAAATGTGATGCAAGTACATATTTAGGACTGTGATCTTACAATGGCATTCTGATAGATTTGTTCGCTGAAAGATCCCATTAGGGAGCTCTGTTGAAAAACTTTGGACATCAGCTCGTGATTCATTTTGAGCAATTGTACATCTCGCATCACCTCACTGGTGTGCTCTGCTCGATCAGTGACGCTCCCCTCGCCATGAATCAGATCGGACCTTTTTACAACGTTAGATAGTTCATTGAGTGTATCTTCGACACTTTGTACTGTTAAGCGAGTTTCTGTGAATAGAAAATGTAATAGGTATGTAAATACATAAATATTTGCCTGCTATATTTTTGTAAGATGTTTGGCCGAATTTTAATTTTATTGAGGATCTTCGGGAATATTTAAAATCAGGTATATCTCTTTTTAGTGTCAAACAGTAGTCAGCTAACATATTTGGACTCCATTTTCCCTGGTACCAAAATGCAAAATATAATGTCAGCACCGGACGTATAGGTGATTGAGTGCCATTGTCTACAAATTTCCCTCTTTTATTTTGGCATCGCGAGATATACCAAAAGGATTATTTACTTACATACATACACTCTGGGGGCATCTTCTTACGATGTGTAGAAACCACAATCGCAAAAAATACCGTTTTAATGTCAATAATAATTTAACGTTAATTTATCAGGAGCACACTTTGGTAAACAAAATACCAGTCAATTTTTAAGGAAAACTGAGGGTGGTTGAAAAAAACAAAGTATGAGGTTTATATACGGTTAGGTAGTAGTATCTAAAAAAACAACTTAGTTTTGTTTAACAAAACCACTGTTTAATAATTATTTGTCGAATCGACTCACATGTATTTAGCACTGATTTTTTTTTTAAGTTTAATCAATCGTCAAAAAATATTCCATACGTTCTTAGTTTAATACTTTCTTAGTAAAATAAAACAAAAGTTATTCGGTTAAATATGTTGTAGTTTAAATAATGGAATTTCAATTAAAAAAAAAATGCATTTTCACGGCATGAAAACTCCAATCAGAAATAGGCTTAACATAGATACCTTGGAGACAATTTTACTTACAAAACAACTATTTAAAAATAAAACTTCTCTTAATTTTGGTGCGTCTTGTAGATAATTATAAAAATGCAAGAAGTATCTGACTAAGGAATAATCCATCCATGCCCGATTATGTCTGTATATATTTGACATATGTGTTTTATGAAAAGTACTTAGAATTGTCAGTTTTATATATAGTATTAGAAAAAACTGCCCTTAAAAATGAGAATGAAGTGACTTAAATAGTAAAAGATATTTTTGGGGAATATCATTGCAAATAGGGGGATATTTTTGAGGAATCTGGGGGAATTTGCCTCAAGAGTGGGCATCGCTGATCTAAATATCGGTATAAGGCACCCGTTTACGAAGAAAATAAAGACATCCACGAAATTTTCAAAATTCAAAACAAATTATTAGGGATTATTACCAGGATTTTAATCCCACAAGTTAGATACAATCCCAAAAGTTTTGGCTTCAAATTTTGGTTATCATATTATTGGAACTTATTCATACAAATTCACAAACTCGCTGAGTTAAACCCAATTTTAAAAATCATTTTTTTCAAATCTTGGTAGCGATTCTTATTATTTTTTTTTAATTTTGAAATTTTCGTGAATGGTTTGCGTCCAAACTAAAGGACTTTAATGTTAATAGATTTAGAGACCCCCCAATATATCGAGCCCTAATCGCCAAAATATCGTAAGCGACACTTTTTTCAAAATTTTCTTTTTTGATGCAGAAATGCATCTAGATGCTCTAGGAATATTTCTGCATCAAAAAGAAAATTTTGAAAAAATGTCGCTTACGTCATTTTGGCGGTTAGGGCTCGATATGTATATATGTATATTAGTAAAAGATTGGTGCACTGCATCTGTTCCTCGCAAGTAATTCGAATAAAACTCGCACGTGTGTATGTTTTTACATCTATATATACATATGTACATACATTGTTTATGTACGTAAATATAATGTTTAAAGCAACTTTATCTTCAGTTAATTAAAGGGCGCCAGGAATTTAGTCTACTTGTTTGAAATACTCCTACTCAATATAATAGTTCATATGTACTATATATACATACATATTTATGTGCACGCCCGTTTTGCAAAAGTTTCCTCTTTGTAAATTTTAATCAATAACGCAATTTTGCAATGAGAATCCATGGTTTATCTGCGAAATCAAGAGCTGAGGATACAAAAAAAAAGGTTTTGCGCCTCAAAGTGTTCTACATGGATAACTACATAGATAGATATAAGACTCTAAAATTTTTATCTTTAGAGCGCGCCTAGCGTAGTTGACAACACTACCAATCGCTGGCTTACTCGCGAAATGGCGAGCCACCACTAGATATGTGAAAAATGCACCATTTTGAATTCAGTGGGTTTTTTGCGTTTTTTAATATTACCATTTTGTTTCATTTAGTATCAGGAAATGACTACCGCCCTTATTGATTTTAGTTATTGAAGAAAATTTATAATTTAATATTTTCTTTAAAAGGGATCATAAATAAAAATTTGTCTCAGTTTGCTTAATAA